AACAAAACTGTTATTATATGCCAAGATATTGAAGAGCAATCTCTGAAGCCAAGACTATGGCCAGTGACAGCTTTTGGTTCAGTCACGTGCCATCCTGTCAACAGCCAGAGAGGTAAACAGCACAGATATGTGCTGACCTAACCTCAAAACCTCTCATGAGCACAAGGAAATTGGCTTGAAAAGACTATTTCTCTTTTGTTCCTCCTTGCTAATTGAATCTCTAGCTCTGATTAAAGAGGCAGAAACAGAAAGAAGTATTCAAAGAGGCAAATCAGAGAATGACACCCATCTGTGAAAAAAAAAAACAAGTCATCGAGTCACTAGAAACAAGCCTGTATCAATCTCCACTCTTTCCTTGAGCTCTTTCACCCATTTGCAGGTGAGGAAGTAGAGAGGAGGGCCAAGGGCCAACCTTTTCAAAGGGCCTTCTCTGGGAATTACTTTCGTATGCACATAAATTTCCACAATAAGTACCTTCTAGAGTTTGCATGTAATTGAATTGCTCTTTCAAGCTCCCTGTCCAATGTTCTAACTTGCATTGTGCTACCAGAAAATCAGGTGTATCTCAATTGCTAAGTCAAACTTGGTTTTTTTTTGGAAATCAGAACTCACTAACTAGAGCCCCTAAATACACCCTTCCCCTTTTTTATTCCCTTTAAATTCCCTTTTACCCAAAGTCACTGGTTCTAGGTCCCCTTGGAGCTGTTGCAGACAGGAGCTGTTTGAAATTTAAGATACAATACCAGGCAGCCACATGGATAACATGAACTTTTCCTTTGACCTTAAAACTAAGGTCAAATCTGTTTTCTCTTTTTTTGTGTTGCAAGTGTTTTGAAAACTAGTTCTTCTACTTTCTGTCTGAGTCTTCTAGTGCTGGGGGAATGACAAGGCATTGGGACAAATAGGAACTAATCTCCTCTTCCAACTAATAGCTGTTCAGGGTCACCACTTTTCTCAGGTTCCACAGAGATTGTTCAAGGGAGGGACTGAAGATCTGGCAGGACCGAACGGTGAGGACCAGACTAACAACCTGTCTCCAGAAAGGACCTGAGTAGATAGTAACTGAGACTCAGGACAATGTAGAGCTCACCTTTACATAGGATTTACAATGTGCTTCTAATATCGTTTCATCAGAGTTTCACAATTGTCTCGTGAGGTGGGTCATGACTAAGGTCCACAGCCCACAGTTTATGTAGGACCTGAGTCTGAGTGCTGTGATGTGTGCACCAAGGCCTTCCTGTCCCCTCACCCTCAGTGTCCCTCATCCACACCTTGTCCAGCTCTAATGAAGCGTCTTACACTGTCATCAAAGGCTGTCTCTCTCCCAGTCATACTGATCAGTTAAATAATTCTGTTCAATAGCCAACGTTGGTCTTGGTGTGCCTCTACCTCGTCCTGAGAGCCCTGCTGCCTGCTGTCCCCATACCGTCCATTCTCCCAGGCTCCCTGAGGCAACACTGCACCCCAGCCTGGTGTTATCTCCTGGATAACCACTATGCTTTGAGCCTAGGCCATTTCTCCCACAATTAAACTCACTCTGTGACCCATCTCCAAGTCCTCTTAAGGAACCAATTTGTACTAAGAGATAGACCTGGCAATGGCTTACTATTCTAATACCCCAAACCCCTCGGGACTACTTACTAGCTGTGTAAGCCTGGGCAGCAGTTCAGCCCCCTAAGTTTCACCTGTAAAATGGAGCTAGCAATCTTTGCATGCGAGGATCACATTCAGAATGTTATATATGTCAGCTGACTTCCTTCTCTCCCCATAAAACCTACTTTCTTTCCTAAAGCAAGTTTCAGGGTATTGCCCTCTTTCTCCCAGAGCACTGAGGGGCCTCTACCTCCAGACCTGGTCCCCACCACACATCCTCCACCCCTGGCCAAAGGGATCTTTCCAGACTATAAATATAACCAGATTTACCCCCCTACCTAAAACTTCCAGCAGCCCCCCAGGGCCACAGAGTCAAGTCCACAAACCCTACATGCTCTGGCCTTGCTCACCTCACCAATGTCCCCCATGCTCCAGGGCACTGAGCACAGTGTTCTCTCTTCTATAATACTCTCCATTTATTCTTTTCATTCTCTAGTTTAAGCAAAATTTCCTCCCGAGTTGAGTCAAATACCTCCCTCTGTGTCCCTCTCTTGTCTTTCTTCTCATCCTAGCACCTAGAACATATTAACTGCATGGCTGCCCACCCCTTGCTTGCCCGAAGCTCTCTGGGGGCCTGGACCACATTGGTCGCAGCCCCTACTCCTGACTCAGGGAAAGCAAGAAAAGAGTGAATGAATATTCCGGGTACCTTTCCTGAAATACATAAAGTGCTCAATTATTTTTAAAGTAGGTTACTGTTACTGGAAAATATTTGCATTTCAAAATCCTTATTTTTTTCTTTGCATCTCAGAATCTCTCAGCCTTCAATGCTTTGTTCCAAATAGAATAACTTTGGAATATTAAGTCTAGCCAATGAATACAATATTTTTAATCCAAAGGGGTAAGAGAGAACTCTGCTAATAAATAATAATAATAATGCCATAAAATAAATTAGCATGAATACTTCTATGGCATACAAATATCTCAATTTATTTTTATAATACTCCTATGAACAGGACTGGACTCATATTGAATAAGGTATATTAGTTGTAACTCAGCAATTGCAAGTGGCAGAAATCATCCTGAGTTAGCTTAAGTAGAAAAAAATAAAAACAGTCCGGCTTGTGTGGCTCAGTGGTTGAGACCCTATGCACCAAGAGGTTGCCGGTTTGATTCCCGGTCAGGGCACATGCCCAGGTTGTGGGCCTGATCCCCAGTGGGGGGCATGCAGGAGTAGATGTCCTCTCTCATCAATGTTTCTATCTCTCTCTCCCTCTTCCTTCCTCTCTCTCTAAAATCAATAAAGAAAAAAAAAATCAACATTACTTTATTGACTTTCAATATCCCTTATTGAAAAAGAGAAAGAAAAAGAGGAGAATTTGTTATAACTGGGCAGGAATATCTCATGGAATTCAAGGCATGCGGTCAACTGTTGTAAAGGGACTGGAGCTAAAAAGTGCAAAGCCTTTAGAAGCCCAGGGTGCCTGGGTCTCATTTCTGCTTCTTTCCACACACACAACTATTCTCTCTCTTCGTAATGGCTCTATCTGCTACCCAGTTTATTGATAGGGAGAGGGACTGGAGGGGAGGGAAGTTCCCAGAGAAAAGGGGTCTCCTCCGGAGAGGTTAAGGGACTTGCCTGAGATCAAACAAGGCCCAGATGCAGCCAAGATGAGAGTAGGAGTCAGACACTGGCTTTGCCCAAAGGTCTGCAATCATATTTTATAATCAAGAATTAGGCTTATTAAGATTAGGCAGAGTATGACATATGGACCAAAATATGTATTCTATGGGCTCGCGCAGTACTAAGTGTATGTACTAAATGTCCATTTACAGAAATGGCCTGTTGGCAGTTTGGCAGGAGGAACATCTAAAGCTCTTTGGAAACCTTTTGTTGGAGCTTAAAATGAAATCAAAACAACCTTATTTTAAATCCCCAAAAAAAGAGAATTCACAATCAATCAAGTTTCCAATACAATCATGTTTAAAACTTATTATTTTTGATAATTTCAAAAATACATTTAGTAATTTTGAAATTCATTTAATTTCAATAGAAGTGGTTTCTAATATGATCCTACTGGTTTTAAATTTGCTTTTTAGAGTTCTGTAGACTCTTAGAGGTAAAAGAGATAAAGCAAGTAGGGGCTGCTTTATCCACTTTATCCATTTGGCTGCCTGGTATTGCATCTTAAATTTCAAACAGCTCCTGCCTGCAACCCAAGTCCTGCCACCGAATTTCCCCTTTGCTCTGGGCCTCACACCTGTCCACCTGAGAGTCCGCATTGTCCCTCTAGAAAACCCTGGCATTCTCCTGGGCAACAGTGCACCCCCATTTGATGGAAAAATAAGGCCCAGAGCAGTGGTTCTCAAACTTGAACACACAAAAATACCTGGGGAGCTTTGTAGAAATACAAATTTGCAGAGACAAAACCAAGGAGTCTGTGATCCGCCCAGGTAACCCAGCTGGTTCTGATGCAGGGACTCCTCTAGTCCACTTTGGCTGGAGCCATCCGTCCAAGGTCACCTGCTGCAGAACTGGAACTAAGACCCAGTTTTCCTAAAATCCACTTCCGTGTTCTTCTCACCACACTCCACTGGCTCTTCAACTCCCCAATGGTTAAAATACAAACATCACTATTTTTAAAAAACAGAATCAACCAACAATGAGTGGGTAAATGAAATGTGTTGAATGCATACAATAGAGAGTATTATGCAGCCTTAAAAAGGAAGGAAATTCTGCCCTGGCCCATGTGGCACAGTAGTTAGAGCATCAGCCCTCATACCAGAGGGTCTCGGGTTTGATTATGGTCAAGGGCACGTACCTGGGTTGCAGGTTTGATCCCTGGCCCCAGTCAAGCATATGTAGGAGGTAACCAATCGATGTGTCTCTCTCACATCGATGTTTCTCTCCCTCCTCCTCCTCCTCCCTTCCTCCCTTCCACTCTCTCTAAAAATCAATGGAAAAAATATCCTCGGATGAGGATTAACAAAAAAAACAAACAAAAAAAAAAGGAAGGACATTTTGACATGTGCTACAACATGGATGATGAAATTTGAGGACATTATGCTAAGTGAAACAGGCCAGTCACAAAAAGACAAATACTACATTATTCCACTTATGCACAGTACTTAGAGTAGTCAAAATCACAGAGACAGAAGATAGAATGGTGGTTTCCAGGGGTTGGGGGAGAGGGATGAATGGGGAGTTAGTGTTTAATGGGTACAAAGTTTCATTTGGGGAAGGTGAATAAGTTCTGGGGATGGATGGTGGTGATGGTTGCACAACAACGTGAATGCATGTATTGCCACAGAGCCATATACTTAAAAATGGTTAAAACAGTAAAAATTTATATGTATTGTACATAATTTAAAAAAAAAGAATCAGTTTTTTTCTGTGCTTCAAGCAGATTTCATTTACCATTTTATGGATGGGAAGACGCATTCACAGGTCAGCTGATTTCTGGATGTGGGTTCCGCACGTTAAGTTGATCCAGCTGGTGTAATTGTAAGCCTTCAGCTGCCCCCAGAATGGTTCTGTGGTCACTCCCATGGTGCCACTTCCTGATGCTACTGCTAAGTCCTGTGTCAGCACCTGTTCTCGCCTCAGCCTAACACCTGCGGAGGGGGTGACAGAGGCAACCGAGTTCCCGTGGAAGGCTTGAGGTGCTCGTGTCATGGAGGCTCACCCCAGAGGGAAAGAAGAGCAGAAGGAAATGAGGGAAGGAAAAGCGGAGGCTGGAAAGAAACTGGAAAGAGTGAAAGTGGCTCTGAGCCCACACGAAGTCAAAGCCAGTAAGTATTGAGATTGGAACTTTAATGTGGCCCTTTTTCGAGAGCAGCTGTAGCATTGAAAGTTCCTAGAAATATGGACAGACACGTTCGAGGATAGTGAAGCCCTGAATGGAAATAACTGGAAACTAGGCTTTCTCCTGATCTCGGAATGTCCCGTCATAAAGAAGTCATGAGAGAGAGCAAGGCAAAGAGCAGGCCGAAAACCCAAGTTCTTGGTTGGAGCTGGGAGCCCAAAGTCCATTCTTCATCAGAAAAAGGGACACCAATTGCCATGAGCAAGAAAGGAGATCGAGGAAAGAGCAAAAAAGAAACAAGAGAGAGGTCAGTGCTAGCTTTCGAGACTGACAATGTGATGAATTTTCTTTCCCTGCTCCGAGGAGTTTATTTGGTGGTTGTAAGTTCATGGTGTTGGGCAATTTTCCCAACATTTGGGGAAGTTACTCATGAGGAAGAAGCCAGCTCCAGACAGCTCGTTGGGAAATGTGGAGAGTTGGTGCCTGGGTGGTTTTCATACTAATCCGGGATTTATTAAAGCTCAGAAAGCAAGCAGCAGAAAGAGTTTTTAAAATAAGACGTTCTACAATGAGAGTCATTGGCATTTTGATTGAGAGGAAAGTTTCTCTCTGGTCTGAAGGTGATGGCAGACCCCAGGAGGCTGGGCAGGGTGGGGACTTCTTTTGTGAGTACTGTGGCGGATCCAGGGAACTCCCACAGTGGCAAAATTATTCCTTTCTGAGCCCCCTCCCCAATAGGGAACAAAGTTTTCAATCGCAGTCGAGAGGAATTGGACTGGATGATCTAATAGAGTTAACTTTTTCCTCTCAAAATGGTGTGATGTGGCATCAGCTACTCTGACAGATTCTGATGCTACTTGGGGGGAGTGAAACACAGGTGGACTGCATTCGTAACGTTGACTCCTTCCAAAGTTGTTTGGGAATGAAATCATTTCAAATCTACAAAGGTAGTTAAAGAAGCCCCACTTGAAATCTTTTGTAAATGTAAACATGCTTCTGCAAGGTGAGTAAACACTTTTGAAAATATTTTTGCTTATAGCTCTGAATTTTGATTTGTCTTCTTTGCCACTAGAACATATAGGATGCTGTAATGTCATTTAGATTAATCATCTGTCACTACCCATCTTGATTGCCTCGAACTGTATATCAAACAGAATGGTTTCCTGTGGTGTGAAAAAAATCCAGTAATTCAACCGCTTCCTTGGGACTTTATAATACTTCACCAAATTTTTATTTTATCCACCCTCAAAATAGATGAAATCTTTCTTTCTTTCTTTCTTTCTTTCTTTCTTTCTTTCTTTCTTTCTTTCTTTCTTTCTTTCTTTCTTTCTTTCTTTCTTTCATTTTAATTTCCAAACACACTGGAAGACCACATTATCTGACCCTTACACTCAGTTTAGGCTGAAGTTTTAATGAAGGACATAAGTCGATGTTGATTGTCACCCGTCAGTTGAATCCACACACCTTGTGTAAGGCACAGGCTCGGCGTCACAAGAGGAAGGATTGTGCAATTCAGAAAGTCTGCCCAGGCAGCAGTGACAAGCCCTGAGGAGGGGTAGGGTTAGCGAATTCCTTAGGGACTCAGAGCATAGAGAGGCCTGGAATGGTGGGGCACAGCTTCACAGAAGGGATAACTTTCAAGCTAGATCTTGAGGGGAGGTCAGGATTTGGATTCTCAGAGTCAGGTAGGAAGAGCATTTTCTACCAGAAGGAACAGAGGTATGACTGCTCAGAGGTGTGAGGATGGAGGAGCAGTTGGGGACAGAAAATGGATGGATATGGCAGGGTTGACAGAAAGGAGAAGAGGGTAGATTCTAGAAAAGTTTCAGAAGAAATTTTGAAATAGAGATTTATAAGCATTTATGAGAGAAGAATAACTGTTAGGAGTCCCTAAATATGGAGTCACTAGAAACTAGTCATTTACTGTTTTTTGTAAGTTTACCAGCCTGGGAAAATAGAGGATGTTGTCAGGGGCATTCTTGCCATTGGCTGGAAATTTCTATGACCCTGGAGCGGAATGGAAGGCCCTGAATTCTCCTGCGCAGCTCAGTTTCGGCAGAGCATCTGCCATAGGCTCAGTGAGATTCTTGTTAAGGGCGTGGTTTGTATGTATAGACACTCATCCCCAAAGAGAGTTGATGGTGAATTAATGGTAGTACGAGGATGGGCTCCGGTACTGATGGGAGCTCCATCTTTGGCCCATTTCTTTGTTCCAATCTTTAATGACGTTTGCCAATGATACAAAGAAACATACAAGATGCATCTATCAGAGTTTTGGATAATATGAAATTTTAAGGGAAAAATAAATGTATCAGTTGATATATCCAAAAATGTCTTTTGAGGCTAGAATGTTGGACAAAAACAAGCAGCTGAAATACAATAGGTGTAATTATGAAATACTGTATTTAGGGTCAAAAAATCAACTTTTCAAGGAGCAGATGGAGAAATATGTCTTGGCCACAGTTGATGTGAAAAGAGACCTGGGACTATTAGTTTGCCACAAATGACCTACCAGTGTGATGGGCTTGGCAGAAAAGACTGTTTTTAATAAACATATAGTGTCTATATATTCTTTCATTCAACAAATCTTTATTTAGACTCCCAGTGCCCAGGCACTGGGTTGGGCAGTGAACACACTGGAGAAGTCCCTGTCCTCATTAGAGGAAAGACACAAACACCCCTCTCCCCCCAAATTACTAAAATATGACAGGGGCCTGGCAGGACACAAATGAAGGCTGCAAATTGAGTGATGAAGGGCCCACTTTTGCTGGGTCGGTAAGGGCAGGTCTCTCTGAGGAGAGGCATTCAAGCTGGAAGATGAGGAGGCAGGAAGGCAGAATATTTCAGGCAGGACAGGGAGTGCATTGGCCCTTAGTGCAAAAGGAGTTTGATGTGTTCCCAGGACTGAAAAACCAATGTGCCTTGTCCATATTCATGCCTACCCACATCCATTCTCCCGTCTGCCAATGGTGTGTGAGTACTACATTTCCCAGTCTCCCTGTGGTTGTACTATATTTCCCAGCCTCCCCTGTAGTTTAATATAGCCATGTGACTGAGTTCTCACTAGTGGGATGCTAACAAATGGTCTGTGTTGGGAGTGGGGGCCCTTAAGAGGCAGGCACACCCCTTCCTCATACTTGTTTCTTTCTTGCTGGTTGCATCCAGGACTTGACAGCAACCCAGCTGACACCCTATAGAATATTGAAGCCCCAGTTAGGAGGAGCCTGGGTCCCTGAATGACTGCAGAGAGCAGGGGCCACTTGCTAACCTGGATTACTCACCTAGGACAGATACTCGAGAGAGAAAAAAAACATTCTATATTCTTTAAGCCACTGAAATATTGTCGCATCTCTTATCTAACCCAATGTTATGGAAGCAAAGGAGATACTAGCTCTACCAACTGGTCCACATTTAGAACATTGCATTTAGTTCAAAGGGTCACTTTTTTTTTTTTTTTTTTTTTATCCTCACCTGAGGACATTTTTCCATTCTTTGTACAGACAGAGTGGGAGGGAGAGAGAGGAAGAGAGAGAGAGAGAGAAACATCGACATGAAAGGGACACATCAAGTGGCTGCCACCCGCACTACCAGCCAGGGCTGGGGACAAATTGCAACCAAGGTACATGCCCTTAGCGGGAACCGAACCCGGGTCTCTCCGGACCGCAGGCCGATGCTCCAACCGCTGAGCCAAACCAGCCAGGGCCAAAGGGTCACTTTTTTTTTTTTTTTTAATCCTCATCCAAGGACATTTTTCGATATTTTGTTCAGATAGAGTGAGAGGGAGAGAGAGAGAGAGAAGCATCGACGTGAAAGCGACACATCGAGTGGTTGCCACCCACACGACCCAACCAGGGCTGGGGACAAACTGCAACCAAGGTATGTGCCCTTAGCGGGAACCGAACCCGGGTCTCTCCGGATCGCAGGCCGCCAAAGGGTCACTTTTTATTTATTTATTTATTTTTTTTATCCTCACCCGAGGACATTTTTCCATTTTTTGTTCAGATAGAGCGGGAGGGAGAGAGAGGAAGAGAGAGAGAGAGAGAAACATCGACGTGAAGGGACACATCGAGTGGCTGCCACCCGCACGACCAACCAGGGCCGGGGACAAACCGCAACCAAGGTACATGCCCTTAGCGGGAACCGAACCCGGGTCTCTCTGTACCGCAGGCCGACGCTTTTAACCGCTGAGCCAAACCGGCCAGGGCAAAGGGTCACTTTTTAAAAGGAAACATTGAGTCCGGCTGGTGTGGCTCAGTGATTGAGTGTTGACCCATGCAGCAAGAGGTTGCCAGTTCAATTCCTGGTCAGGGCACATGCCCAGGTTGTGGGCCCGATCCCCAGTGCAGGACATGCAGGAGGCGGCCAGTCGATGTTCTCTCTCATCATTGTTTCTTTCTTGCTCTCCCTCTCACTTCCTCTCTCTCTAAAATCAATAAAGAAAAAAAATAAACTAAAAGGAGACATTGACCATTTGAAGCATGTTCAGGGAAAGGTAAGGACAACAACATTTAGGAATTTGAAAACCAAGTCAATGAAAATCTCTTCAGGACATGCAGTTGTTTAGTCTGGAAAAGAGATTTCTCACGGGTGGTATGGTGGCTGTCTTCAAACATTGAGGAAGCTGAATGAAGCTGCATTGGAGTGGCTCTTATAGGACCTAGGGGTAGTTGGGATTTATGATGAGGCAGATTCTGATCCAACATAGGGGAGAA